AGTGATTCTGACTAATGAAGTTTCGTATGTATGCTATACAGGTTTTTTTCTGATCTGATAGTGCACATAGAGATATTTAATATATGTATGAAGATTTTTTATTCCTAGTTCTGAACGAATGCGAATCAATTAAAATGAACATAACTACTGGATAAATAGTGACCATTATTTTCAGTATTTTTTTTATAACGTTTAACATCAATTGTTAATCTATGATTATAGTTTTCTACTATTAAACTATGTGTTCTACTTAATCGATAATCATCAATGACCAAAATAAGGCGATGTTTAAGACTGTAATTGTGAATATCAGAGTTAACTCATATACTTATCCTCGTGAACTTGTTTCTTTTTTAATAATCAAACAAAAATACAAAAAATATTTCATTATGGTTGATTTTTCAACTTTACAATATTATTAATTCGTATTATGTGAAGAAGCACAAAGAAAAAATGTTACTGATGAAGAAGATGATCAACAGGAAAAACTAACGATGTTAGTACGATTTGTCAATGAAAATATTGAATCTCCATTTCCAAATCAATATAAAGATTATGGTAGACAGAAAATATTTTACTATCATATTATCTTGATATTTTTGTAGATTTTAATAAAGTTTATAGTGAAGATCTAGATAAAGATGTTTGTATTTTTAATAATGTATTCAAAAGATATCATTTTGCTGTTTTTTATTAGAATCCATTTGTTCAACAAAATGTATTAAAACATTTTTTGAAAGATTAGATATTTATTTTTTAATTCGAGAATAAACAAATTTTTTTTATTAGAATGAAAACTAATGAAGATTATTAAGAAGAATCTCGTGGAGAACTTCGTGTGTTGGAACATCATATTGATAAAAATATATAAGAAAAAAATGGAAACAACTGAAATTTATCTTGATGTAATATTTGTTGTTTTTTTATATATCTATAAAAGTTTATGTGAATAAACTGGTAATAAATCTTTTATCGAAAAGATTTGAATTCATCATATTTTCATAAATGTATTTTGGAATTGATTCTTCATTGAATTATTCTTGTTCTTGTATCCTATAATATTGAATAACATTTGAAATGTTCATATCGTTTATGGACAGTTTCTCTTGCATTGATTTGGCTTTCGTCAAGTTTAGTTTTAATTAAAACATTTTCATTCATTTTTCTATCCAATTTTTTTTAATATGATAAATATTCAATGGATCGATGTCATTCTAAGAACATATTTATTCGTTATTTTTATTCAAAATAATAATCTTTATCATTAAAAAAAATGTTCATGCATTCATATTTCTTGATCTTTTCTGTATATACCGTCATAAAGATTTTGAAGCAAGTGAAAAAAATCAGTATTTGTTACCTGAGACAATTAATATTCGACCAACATATCATTTTCTTTCATCATCACAAGAGCATTCATCAGATATAAATAATATTTTATTACTATAATACAATTGTTTACAATGATACACATAATTATAAAATCGATTTACGAAATCTCAGTTTTTAGCAACTGTTCATCTAATAAATTCCGTTGTAGACGATACAGAACAATACTAAATTAATATCTGCTGCATATATATATATATATATTACATAAATATCACAAAAAAATCTCCAGTTGATCACCGGTTTGGACGTTCTGTCATAAATTATCCGACATATAGATTGTATTTGGGGTAAACGAGAGTCAATCAAAAACTCATTCTTTTTTTTCTTTTAAAAAGTAAATATGTATAATGTCTATCCCATTGTGTATTTAAAAAAAAATAAATAATTTAATATATCTCGTATTTTTCTAGTAAATTATTGTATATATGAAATCAACAGTATATCATTTTAAATTTATTTTTTTACATAAATTGATTAGTATTAAAAAAGTGTGAGTCATATTTAATGTAATTTTATCTTTACTGATATAGCAAATACTCATTCTTTTTCTCTCAGACATATGGTACAATTTTTATTATTAGTTATATATAGATTAAAAAAGAATAAAATTTTATCTCTCTATTATAATTAACATAAGTAATTAATTGAAAAAAAATATTTCTTTTTTTTATTTCATATTTTTGCAAACTAAATCAGTAGTTTAAATGATGAAATTGATTCAAGAGGAAATGATTGTCATAGATGTTAATTCATCAAATTGTATAGTTAAGTAGATAAAATATGAATTATAATATTCAATTTTGACATCTGATATTATCAAATAGTGTAGCTTTTTTGTTTAATGAAAAATATGCAATTTCAAAAAGTAATCAAATGAAATATTTCTGATCGATACAGAGCAAAACTAAGATGAATAAAGATAAGTGTATATTTAATTACTCATATGTGTAAAAGAAAAAAGAAATATTAATCCATTTAAATAATATTTTATTCTTTTTTTTATCAGTTATTTAGAGTAAATTTGACATGACATAAAGAAACATGACTTGAAATAGATGAACAGATGAGATTTACGTTGGAATAATATTTTGTTTTATTAGGATAATAATAGAATATTTTAATGAAATCACGGTTTTCTTCTACATCAAATCTTTGTTAATCATGACAAAAAAATATCAAATATTAAAAAGAAAAATGTTTTTATTTGAATAGCTAATAAATAAAAAGAACAGATTTTGTTTTTCTTTTATTCATATTGTAGTTATATCAGACTGTCATTTATTTAACTATGAGAATAAATCTTTAATTATTCATCTATCTTGTTCATTCAACTTTTCTTTTTAATTATTTCTTTATTCATTCATTTAGAAAATGAAATTAAAAACTTTCATTACATGGCTTTATCAGAGAGTAGTTAATTACAATCTTTTTATGTTAGCTGAAGATGATTATGATGATGATAATAATAATAATATTCAAGATCCAACAATTGTTATTAAACATCAAAAATATAAAACTTGGTTATATATTATTCTTCTTACAAGTAAATATAGAATTTTTTAGTTAACCCTCCGGTGGTGTACGCTTTTTGTCACACGAATGATATATGTGGGTAGAAGTGGACCCACATGTAAATACATAAGGAAAACGTGAAATTTCATCTGTATCGTGCTATATAAGATAGATCAAGGTCTATATCATGATTTCATTTCAGTCACTGATGCATTGATACGCTTGTAATATACGTAAGATACTGATTTTTTAAGAAAAAAAAGGATTACGATTGTCGTGAGTAAAATTTAAGAGGATGGTGAAAATATTTCGATAGATAAATATGGATAGAGAAACACATTATTCCTTACTGGCAGCAACACACTAATTGATCTTCAACAGATAGACCTTCGAAACAATAGAGGGCATACGTAATACGAATTAAAATCATCTATATAATACAAATGTTGTCAGGGGGTCCAAAGGGACCCACGCTCTAGTTTTTCACTGCTGATAGTTTTGCAAGAAATTTTATATGGTTCTTATGTGTCATTAGAAGACTAACGATTAGCGAAAAGATCGCTTCGATTTGCATAGATCTTAAAATAGAAAATAACAAAAAACCACTGTTGTGGGTCTCTTGGGCCCACAAACATCACCGAAGGGTTAATTAATTATTTTAATATAACATCTTTTGTTTTTAGTTTGTTTTTATATATTATTTTATATACATTTGATAAAAACAAAGTCATCAATTGTAATTGTTGAAGATATTACAATTAATTTATATAAGAAACTTTATTCTGAACATCATGAAACACTTTTATGTCCATGTTCAACAACAACAATATCTTATGAAAAGATAACATCAAACGATGTAACAATACATTCTGTTTGTTCAAGTATTTTTGTTGATCCAATATGGATAAATGATTTATATTTTGACAATGCAAGTCAATATGGAGTTTGGGATTTTCGAACAACAGCATATTCACAAGTAAATGTTTCTATATTATCTTCAAATTTATTTTTCTCTTTCTTTATTTAGTTTGAATTTTTATCGAGTTTTTGTTCACTTTCAAATGAAGTCATTTCTCAAACTCTGACTGATATTGATCATAATGAACTTATTTCTCTTTATCTTCTTTCTGACAAACAATTTCAAATTGAAATCAATGGAACAATCGAATATCTCAAGAATAGTGCAGCCACTCGAATAATAACATTTTTAAATTATTTAAGAAACATTAGTAATACACATTATTTCATTTCGGCTCTCAATACAAACTTTATAATTGAACCGAATTCTTGGCCAAATACACTTTCTAGTTTTATGGCAAACGAAGTAATGTATAAGAATAGAGAAAATGAAACCTGTGCCGGTCCTATACGAACAATTAATGCCACTCTTAGCCCGTTACCCTATCAATCAAATGAGCACGATAGGAGATATCGAATGGAGCCCATGTCTAATTCTAGTAATGTCACTGGCTTCTTTGCAGCGTGTACTCCTCTTCAAGCAGTTCTCGAAAGTACATTAGATTGTCTTTATGAAGTAGAATGTCTTTATTTATTACTCAAATACTTTCCAAATCTAAAAACAATAGTTTGTATCAAATTATTTCCTATTTCTATAAAGTCTTCTTTCTTTGTTTCTATTCTATTTAGAACAATTTCAATCCAAATGTTTCTGTTCTATCTTCAGAATCTCAAAGTATTACTGTCGAGAAATATCTCGAAAATCTTTTCATCAAAAATTGGCCAACACAAATTAATTATACAAAATATTTTGATTTATGTTCTCCATCATCATGTTCATATTCAATAATAAAACGAACAGAAGTTATTTATGCAATAACATTTTTGATCAGTCTTTATGGTGGTCTCGTCATTATACTTCGTTTGATTGCATCATTTTCTATTGATACTTTTATGAAATGGAAGTTTTATTTGAAAGCAAGAAATGAGAATTCATCAGGTAATATTTTAATTGAAATTATATAATAATTTATGAATATTTATTTGGTTCTGAGTAGAAGAAAGAATCAATCAATTGAAATTTATCGAAAAAATCAAACGTTTAAATTTATTTAAGAATATTAACGATCGAACAGAACAAAGTATTAAACGTCAAAAGTTGATTACACG